ACACTCAAAGAATAAGCACATAAATGCCATATAAACCATATAAACAAAAATGCGCCATAAAAGCCAAAAACTGAGAGAAAACACAATAAGGAAATGGGCTGAAAACAAGTAGACGCTGGAGCATAGCAACCAGCAGCAGACACAGCAAAGGAGAGCATTTCATTTCATAAGCTCGACATCTTAATCTTAATGAAATACACTCGTTGCCGTCGCCCAATGACAAAGACGCCCCTTTACACACACACACACACACACACACATACACACCTACCCGCCTCCTACCCTTGTGCAACATTGTAGAGCGGCAGTGTTGTGGGCGTTGGGCCATGTTTGAAATTAATTTCATTCACACAAAAATTCTCGCGCACATACAATTTCATTAAGCAAATATTTTCGTCGCCTGGCAGCGTACACCTACCAACCAACCACTCCGTGCACCAAATGTTTGTTGTTGTTGTTGTTGCTGTTGTTGTTTGTATTTTTGTTTTAGCTACTGCTTTCAGCGAGTTAACGACGCGCAGCATTTATGCGATTTTAATGCCGCGAGCGCTGCTCAAATGAGCCGCTCGTAAACGCGGCGCAACGTTGGGTCCAATGATCAGTCAGTGCCACGCCCACATATATACAATGAATGCATTAAAAGAAAAAGCAATGCGAAACATTTGCATGACCAATAAAAATGACATTTAATGACAGCTGCAAATTTGCAGCCCCAAATGATCACAATAACAATAATTATGAGCTGGCATCGCATGCACAAAGCATTGACAATGGCCAAGCAGCACACAATAAAAAAAAAATATTATATATATGTTTGTATGTATGTTTGTTTGTGGCTGAAAATGATTTGTTGATTGATTCACACAGTCCGAGCCAAAATGCATTTCAATCGTATGCAAAACAAAAGCCATCACATGTTCAAGTAATGACTAAAAAACAAGTGAATGTTTCAATTTCAATTCGTATTTTTCTTGTATGATACACTTGAATAAATGGCGATGTACATTGAAGAGCAAAAACAACAATTCTTAAACAAAAAAATGCCCCAAAACTGCTTGTCACATGCCACATGCCGTCCGTGTTCACGTGTCCGCCGTGCAACCAAAATTGTTGCCATTGAGTGGCCATTCAAAAGAAGTGGTGAATTGAATGCACATCGAATCGAAATGAACCGAAAGTTTTAAAGTGCATTTGGCCCGATAGTGGCAACAACAACAACAACAACAATAACAACAACAAAGCTGCAATCTTTAATTGGTGTTTGCGCCATAGTCGAACGCAACAGTTTCGCTTGCGAAGATAAAAAAAAATCATTGGCCATGCCTCGGTCTGCGCATTAGGCACAACGAGCCTTGCTCGCTCAAATGAGCTGAAATGAACGGATGTCGACTGGGCGGAACGGGGGCGTGGCATGCCGTACCGAAACGCTTGGCGTTGAAATGATTACGCGTTCAAGAGCGGTATGTAGTCAAAGCTAGCCAGGCACACCCAACTCAACACACAAGACAGAGACAGGCAAAGAGAGAGAGAGAGAGAGAGAGATGGATAGAAATGGAGGCGGCAACCGCAGAGCCGTAGAGCCGCAGAGACTTTGGGCCAATATTTCAAACACACGTCGAACGCATTTCCGTGAGGAAAATGTTTACAACGGAAATGCAACTTTGGCCGTTGTTCGAGCATAACTGTTGTTTATGTTTGCACACACACTGCACATCCCCAGTCAGGCCAACCAAACATGCGCCAATGGCCGTCGCTGGTTGGTTATCAACAAAAGTGCTACGCGCCCTGGGAGACAAACGCAGCTGTGACCCAAAGGGCATAAATCCGATGCTCACTTTAAATACCCTTGCACTGGGTATTTGATAAAGTATCTGACTTATTCTTCTCTGATCCCATAAAATACGAAGAGTTGTTGAATTTAAATGAAGGCTAACTTCCATCCAACATTGGCCAACAGTTTTGTCAGTCATGCAAATATCTTACAAAGTTTTAAGGCTGGAGTCAGTAAATTGCTAAGAATCGAACATTTACAGAGTATTAGGCAGTCGGTTAACGTTCGACTTACTCGTTTTTACTTGCTTAAGCAAATAATAAATATTGAGGGTATGTCATTTTCGACGTGCCAAAGATAGCTATTATTTCTGGTTGTTATTTTGGGCCAAAGGCAGTTACAGCAGTTAAAAGGCCGGTTACAGTCCCGTTTACAGACCCAGCTACCCATTGCTGACATCTCGTTTTTTGTTTTTGTATTTCGCTCTCCTCTCAGTTGCTGCAATTTTTGACATCAATTTTCTTGCCGTTGACAAAAGCCTTACGCAGTAAATTGAGATGGATGAAAGCCACCAGATATGCAGAGATACACACATATAGACATATAGACAGTCAGAGAGGCAGATTGACGGGTCTAGTGGAAGTGAGCTCGTCGCTCACTCGAACTGAGCCAATAAGCGCACTTGCGTTAAAGCAAAATCCAAAAAAAAAAAAAAAAAACGAGGAAAAACGAGAAAAAAGCAAAGCAAAAACCAAAACAAGACAAGAAAAATAGGAGAATTTGCTGCGACGCTGTTGCAGTATTTGACGAGTTTCTTAATTGGTTGGTCCTTGCAAAAAAGACGTATAAAAACGGAATAAAAATACGGAATAAGGCCAACCAGCTTCCTTGGGTCAAGGCAACTTAGACTTAGACAGAGACAGAGAAAGAGAGAAAGAGAGAGGGAAATGATGATAGCACATTTTCATATTGCTTAAAAGTTCATTTAAATACTTACTAACTGTTGAGTGTATTATTCTCTCGTCCCAAAATTGTTAAGGAGAAAATATTTAGATTTAGTCGCTCAATCAAAATTGATCAACCAGTCAACCAGTTTTGTCTCAAGTGGTGTCGGTGAGCGATGGTCCAGATTGGCAAGTCCAAGTATAAATCAAATAAGCAGATTTTCTGTGTAAAATATAGTTGATTATAGTTGTGAATTACTTCCCTGATTAATCGAATATTTGAGGACCATTTACCAAAATCAACTAATATCATCGGCTTATTGCAAACACGTAGCCAACGCAATAGCACGTGTGTAAGTGGGCGTGCGGATTGTGTGTGTGTTTGTTTTCGATTGCGCCCTTTGAATTTCAATTGAGATTACTGAGTGTAATTAAGAGACATTGAAGCAGAGAAAGAGAGAGAGAGAGAGAGAGAGAGAGAGAGACACGCCCACGTGCTGAGCTGTGTGGAGAAGAAGCTGGTGTTGGCCACTTTATGGTTTTGCCCCAAACGGTGCAGACATTTTCATTATTATTGCACAATTGAATGATTTTCATTAAATTGTAATTAACTTGAAATTAATCACTTTGGCAATTGCCAACTAAATCGAGAGGATGGCTAAAGATTCCAGAAGGTCGATATTGCCTAAGCGGCTTAATTTGTGTCTGCAGCAATTCCTCTGTCCCGGAACCGAATCAATAAAGGAATACGTACAACCATCCGCCTTTCTCGCTTCATCTCTGTCCCTCCCTGTCTCTCTCCCACTCTCTCTCTCTCTCTCTCTCTCTCTCTGCGCTGCTTGTGCGTTTGTCAACTGATTGAAATCCATATGAGTGTGGAAATTGTTTAGTTTTCATTCGAATAGACATGCCCAGAAACAAACCAATAGCAGGCAATTAGAGCAAAAAAATCTGCTGAAGAATAAGACAAGAATTGAGGCTGCTGATTAGCCGCCAGCTAGAAAATACATTAAAAAAAAAATACCTTAACCGATTCAAGAGAAAAAAGAAAAATGGCAAAAGCGCAGAAAGAAATATGCAAATGAAGCAAGTAAATCGCAGGTAAAATTCTTAAGGGGCAACTGCAGAGTTGGGGGCGATGGCAATTAAGAATGCCTGTGAGCGGCAGCTGCCACTGAGTTGCTAAAGTGTGCCTTGCATATTTTAAGATGCAACCCCATCACCAAACCCCATCACTCTACCCCGTCCAATCATCCCTACCAAAACAATGGGCAGGATTGTGCTGTCGCGTCGGCAAAGGCGGTCAAAAGCCCGTCAAGTATCAACTTGCAACAACAAGTGCGACAATCGCAATAATTCCATTCAAGCGCACAAATGTGTTGCACATTTCGTATGCAGGTCCAAGGTGAGCGTTTGAGGCGCCCATCTTGGGGCGTGGTCAGGTGTGAATACTGCCACAGGGCTGACAGCATGGACTTGAGTGTCTTTTCATTTGAAAAGGTTTACGACTTGCAGCAAGGCAACACCAACTGCAACAGCAACAGCAACAGCAACAACAACAAAACAAATAAAAACATAAACAGAAAAAGATAGTGGAAATTGAGAGACTGGGAGAATAACGAGCAAACAAGAAAACTGCTCTAGCAGGTGCCAAAGGGAGTAACACAATATAAAAAAAAAAGTGAAATTAAATAAACATTTGGAATGGGGCCAATGGCAAGTAGATAAAGATAGCAAATGAAGAAACTTAAGCTACAAATTATACTGAATGGGAAAAGCACATTTGATTGATCTGCTTTTGCTTTTTCCATAATATTTGTATTACTTTTGAATAAGATCGTAAAAATCAATAAATAAAAATAAGAAAGACCAGAAAAAGTTGAAATGAGACACACACACATTTGGAGTCAACTCACCTCAAGCTTTAAAAGCATTTCAAATTATAACTTGACAAATTTCTGATTGTTTATTAATTCAACTTCGAATTAATTGACTCAACTTCTTAATACTATTGAGATTATTTAATTAGTTTATAAGTCTCGACAACATAAACAAATAATAGAGTTCCTGTCAGGTGGAAACTAACATCCATTTTTCACTCAAGGATTCAAACTTTGCAGAATTATTTGAGTTGCTCAACCAAAAACATTGCTAGAGGAATGTGTCTTAATTGTATTGAGTGCATTTCATAAATACTAAGATCCTACGTGAATTATTTTTGACTTTAGACTACTTGCAATCTTTAATCTAAAACATCGTTTCGTTGTTCAACAATTATTTTGCAGCTAACCGAACGCCAGGAGCAAACACCAGCAACCCAAATGCAAGATGAATTCGGACCAAATAATGCAGATGCCATCTGGGCCGCCGCCTGCCTCGCAGAGAGCTACATGCGGCGAGTTCAGCGGGGACAGGGAGAGCTACGGGGCGACCGGGAATCTGGGGTATGGCGGCATACCGACTACGTCCACCAGCAGTTACGGTTCTTTTGGCGTACTATCCAGCATATCCACAGGGGTGACAGGAACGCCCGCGCTGCCGCTTTTGCTGCCCGTGCCGCCTTTAACCAGCACGTTCAAAACGTCGACGATTACGATGCCGACATCGACTTCGCCATCGCCATTGATCCCGATGTCGACGCCGACGCCTTCCCCCCTCCTCGCCATACCGATGACAACGCCGACTCCGATTCCGACACCGAATCCAATAGCGACAGCAGCGCCGCCGGCGACATCGCTCTTGCCCATGTCAATGGCGACAACAACGCCGATGCCAACGCAGCTGCTGCCGATGCCGACGCTGGAGGACATTGAAGTGGCAACACAGCGGCAGCCACCATCAGTGGCGCCGCCGCAGCAGCAGCAGCAGCCAGCCGGCATACTTAAATACCCAACAGCATCGACCATTGGCTATATCAGCGAACTGCTGCCACCGCCAGCCCCGCTACTGGGCACCAGTGCCAGCAGTTCCATAAACAGCAATTGTGGCACGCTGAAGAGCAACGCAAAACTGCTGCCATTACAGCTGGTGGGCACCACGACATCCTCACGACACGGCAAGGATCCACCTGGATCCGTTGGATCGGGAGCGCAGTCACAGCAGCGACAGCGCCGCCAGGGCTGGTGTGCATGCTTTGGCTCCGGCCCAAATGCTTCGGAGGCCAAAACGCCACCAGGCTTTGCGAACAAGTCAAAGAAGCGCAAACAAACGGCCCAAACCGTCTGGTCTGCCCTTCTCACAAACCTTGGCATCTGCATGCTGCTCCTGGCCTACACTTTGCTCGGTAAGTGTTCCAAATTTAAAACACATTAAGCCTTAACACAAATCTGTTGCTATTCAAATGGAAAATGGTTCAACATTTGTTGTGGTTTCCAGAGTTCACTTAATTCAACTGATTCATGAATAAATGCTGTACGTATCCCAACTGCCAGGTTTAGCTCATCTTCAGATCTTGCTGATTGTCATCTTACTACTATATTATTTTCTGTTAAAACAGTTTGATTTTGTTGGAAATAACTGTATTTGCCTATGTACACCGCAGCTTGTCTTGCATTCCCGTTTTGTAGTCTTAATCTGTTGTTGCCTGCGAGCAACGGTAATTGTAAGTTCCTTATGATCAAGACCTTCTTCGATGATATGCTTAAGCTATTTTCATGAAGTAAGAGTCAGTCGCTTTTGGTCGCTTGAATCGCGTAGTATAAGTCGCATGAAGCGGACATATATTCTGTATTAAATACAAAGCTCTGAATAAATATAAATAGATTTCAACTTAAAAGGTGTTTGCAAAAGGTACAAATAAATATGATATTTTCACGATTAATGATTAAGTCAAAAAAAAGTCAGGAAAATTCTCTTTTTATTTGAATAAAATATTCAAGAGTCTTTATAGATTTTCAGCTCGACGAAAGCGTGGCAGAAACACAATAAAGTTATTTGTTGTGAGTTAAGCTTGCTTGTAATGTGTCGCCAGCATTTCGACTGAATGTGCTCATTAAAATCTGTGAGGAGCTTAGCTTGATTAATTGATGGCATATATATGTATATATATATATATAGCAACTATCAGTTGAACAAACATTTGTTCGCATTATTGTTGTTTTTGTTGGTCGCACTCATGTTGACTAATTAACGCAGCATTTTCCGGCGTTTCTCCTTTGCTGTTACATTCAAGAATTTAATTTGCTTTGCCGCTGACTGTGTGCGGCTGCTGTGTGTCAGCTACAGATAACTCGTGCTTAAACATTTGTGGCTACAGATATCTAATGTATCTTGTCACAGTTTCTATGTTTAAATTAACAGCAACAACAAAAAAACAAAAAAATTGAAATAAAAACAGTTTAGGCAACAGCAGCTACCGTTCACGGCAATGTGATAAATTTAATTAATCATTTTGTCAGCCGCATGCGAATGAAACAACAAAATGGCGTCGGCCGCGAATACTGCCACACGGCCAAAACTTCTGCGGCTGGTAAGTGTGGCATACACTTTTGCAGCTGTCATGTTGCCTGGCATGTACTCCTCCTCGCATTAGAAACCAAAGACGGCTGTGCGAACACGACGGCCACGGAAGTGACAGGCTGCCAAATAAAATGTGACAAAATTGGCAGTATGCAAAAGCCAACACACATGTGCCACATCAAATACTCTAAAGCTTAAACAAATCAAAGCATCGTCTACGCATCAGAGATGCTCTCCCAACAACCGTTACACATCACTCTGCTAACACGAGTCGCAGTTCATCAAAATAATTTACAATATTTTCAAATACTTGGCAACTTTAAATTGTTGAAAGTTATTATTTAAATATTTGCATGGAAGAAAATTCAGCTCAACCTCTTTCTACAATTATCGCTTCGATTTTCATTTAAAAAACTCCAAATTAAAGTAAAATATTTGAAAATTAAGTTACTTAGTCACTTTTATTTTATTATTATTATTTGGAATCTTACACAATTTCCAATGATTTTTACAATTTTCATCGACTCTTCAGTCAAGGCCTAAATAAATACATTTTTTTTGCATTGCTAAGAAAATAAAAAGTTTTAGTTGCATTCTAAAATGATGCCTGGAGTTGACTTGTTTTATTTAAATAACTGAAAAGCTGTTGTCAATTTAAGGCTGATACAGTTTGTGTTGTATAATTAAATTGTAGATTGTCTCATTTTTTGTGGCTCATCTCCAGCACGCATGGACATTTTATATCCATGTATGCCTTGTGAGTGTGTGTGTGTGTGTGCGTGTATGTGTGTGTGACTGTATTTGACAGCTGCGCAAAAAGTTAGCCGTGTTGCCTTGTTAGAGGAAATCATCAAATGACACAAACAATTATTTAACTTTCTCTAGGCCCCGGTGCGTGAATTTGTGACGTCAGCACACGCACATGACAGCTGCCTGTGTATATGTTTTTATTCCATATATATATATATGTATGTATGTATGTATGTGTCTTAATACATGCACATGTGTTGTCTGTGTATGTGCCTCATTTTGCGTGCATTTTGAGGCTTCAACAAAAGTTTCAAGTTGGCCAAGCACAACAATAACAAGAACAATAACAAGAACAAGAACAGCTACAACAATACAAACAATAGCACCATCAACAATTGCTCCTTTTGTGCTGCTGTTGCTGCTGTTGCCGCCCCCCGCTGCAGCCGGACAGCCCCACACCAACTCATGTATTATTTTTAACTTTGACATGTGTTGGCTTTTGCCGACGACATCGACTCATCATTCCCCCATAACATCATTTGCAGCCCCTAAGCTCAACCAACAACAACAACAACAACAACAAAAAAGTTAAACTTACGGCGAATGTAACCGAAAAACTTTTTCAAAACTTGACAAAATGCCGCTCCAGCGACACATGTTTGCCTCAGTGTATTTGTGCCTGTCAGTGTGTGTATGTGTGTGTGCTGGTGTGTGTGTATTAGTTGATCAGCGTAGACATTAAATGACTGACAAGGACACATCAGCTCAAAAACTCAAACAGCACCAGCAAGAGCTTAACAGGCAACTGACAGTGAGCAACCAGCGTGTCAACGAACTCGATTTGACCCATCGCCTTTTGGGGGCCAACATGTCAAAGATTTGAAAAGCTTGTTCATTGTACAATTATGCAATGGCTACCAATTATTGTTGCCGATCAGAATGGGAATCGATGCGCAGATTAGCAAAGCAAGGACAAAGGCGAAAGAAAGTAATTAAAAAGCCATCGGAGAAGTTTGACTAATCAAGTTGTGAGGCGAATGAAACCACAAAGTTAATTAAGAAAAACCAACCGAAACATAAAGTAAAAAAAAAAAAAACGAAAACGAAGAAAAATTGTTTTCTTCTTCTAAGTTATGAAAGAAGCAAGTTAAAAAAAAAAAAAATTAAAATAGGAAACCGAAGCAAAACAAAACATGTTTAATTCTAGTTTTGCTGGAAGCCGTGCAAACAACTTTTAAAAAGTTGCATTTTTTTTTATGAAATTGTATAAAAAGCTTTGTGAAATCCGTTGAAACATTTACAAGTTTCAACGAAGTAAAACAAACTAGTTAATAGTTTGCAGCAGTTTGATCTACTTTACAAACACATCGAAGCCAGTCCACCTGACAATGTTGATAGCATAACACAACTGCCGTTGACGATTGCTGTGCACAACTCTCTTGGCCAGTTTGAGACGAGCAATGGACCAACAACCCCAAGCGATTGCAAAGAGTCACTAAACAAATGGGATTGCCTTCTCTTATTTGGCGAATACCCTGTACTAAAATGTTGTAATAAAGCAGCTCATGTAAGCTCGCTGACATACTGACTCGAGATCTAGAAACTATAAAAGCCAAGTGCTTTAAACCAAGTAGACCAAGAAAAGAAGTTCATTTCGGATTTTTGATAGCTTGATACCCATTTTAAATGTCATCTAAAATGAACATTTCATGTTTTTGCGACTACTTTTGAGTTTTATTGGTTCTATTTTGGGCAGTTAATACTTGTTGGTCCGCTAGTCGAGCACTTTCGACCAAAGTACTCTTACTTTGGGCTTGTTGTTGTTATTGTTGTTAAGTCTCTGGAGTTTAATGCTGTTGTGTGCTTTGCTGCTCTGTTCGCAGGCTCTTTCATATTCCTAACCATCGAGAATGAGGACTCGGCGCTGTTGCATCAACAGCACACACTGGCATCCACCAAGCGAAACATGGCCATGTCCGGCAGCATGCACAGCAATGGGAATAGCAATGGCATCTATCAACAGCATAGGTCGCCACAGACGCAGTCACAACAACACCAACAACAACAACAACAGCAGCATCAGCAGCAGCAGCAGCAAGGACCTCACACCGACAATGACACGATGGCCGCTGCAGTTGCCCAGGGGCAGGATTTGGGGCGTGAGAGAGGCGTCTATGGACAAGCATCGAATGACTTTGTTTATGGATTGGATGAGTCCGAAATAGAGGCGGGGCAGACACAGTTTGCTTTATCTCCGGATACTTATGATGTACGACAGCGCACCATTGAGAATATCTGGGACATAACCGTATCCCTCAACATACTCTACAAGGAGAACTGGACAAAGTGAGTTCGCTTTCTCTCTCTCACTCTCTCTCTCTCTCTCTCTCTCTCTCTATCTCTCACACTCTCTCTTTATCTCTCTATCTGTCTATCTGTCTTTGCTTATTTGTTTAACCATATATGCACACACACGCACAGATTAGCCGCACTTGAAATTGCCAAGTTTCAAGACCAATTAATCAAGAGACTGAACGAGGATGTTATGCTGCAATTATCACACGACGATGCAACTGGAGGACACTCGCTGGCTGGTGGTCCAGCTAATGGTGGGGCAGTTGGCGGTGGCGGTGCGGCTGCAGCGGCAGCATCCAACAATCCGGCAACGGAAGCTGTGCTTCTGCACACACACTTTCATCATCATCGTCTTGGGGGCGGTGGCGGCGGCGGCGTGGGAGGACCGCCGCATGAGTGGAATTTCGCCAAAGCGTTTCTATATTCGCTGACCGTTTTGACCACAATTGGTAAGTGCCGCTGACCTACTACTATGTCGACCAGCTAAACATGTGTGCCACAGCCAGAGGCCACACAGAGACACCGAATCCGAATGAGAATGCGAGAAATAGAGCAAAGTGGCTGCGGGCCGAACTGACCCCGTTTGTTATATTCGAATCGAAACGGAAATTTGCCTGACTTCATTGAATTTCAGAGCTATTGTTCTCAGATAAAATTCACAATGGAGCTTGTGACCCCATACTCAGTTTTCGATTAAGCAACACAAAAGCCGCCTCAATTCACGATAGTTGGTCGGACAAAACTGCCGATTTTCGATAAGCCGATAAGTGTGAAGTGTGGCGAGAAGCTCTTCGATATATATATATATATAGATACTGATATCGATATAGATATGTATGTATAGATAGCGATATATAGATAGCGTTATGTGGATTTTACTTGAATGGGATAGTTAACTATATATATTTATTTAGTATTTTATAGATAGAAACAGATTAGTTGAAAACAACCAATTTTGATTGGGAAAAAGTAAAAAACACGCTTGCTTGAGAGGATAGCCAAGATCCTTGCTTACAAGGCTAATGGAATGAAAGACAGGCAAATATCAATTAAATTCATTCGATCGACATCAGCAGTGGGCAATGTGTTCAAATTAACAGAAAACTACAGAAAAAAACCGCAACAAATTATTTAACACGTGCTGGGCAACGGTATCGAAAAGTTTTATTGATTTAAGGCTAGAAGTATCGAAACATCTTGTTCAATCAATTTTATCAGTTATTGATCGATTAGTTCTTAAGAAAATCAAGTCAAAGATGCACTAAATGCCACAATAAATGTTGCAAGAGAACACATTGTCTGTGGCAATATTTTCTGATGAGATCAAATTCAATTTCGATGGTCCAAGTGGATTAAATTATTACTGGCACGATTTCAAGAAGTCTGAGATATTTTTCCCTACTCGAAGCTGTGGTCCTGCTTCACTCAGCCATCGCCTGAAGGGTTATATAAACCAGTTGGACAAAGTTTTGGAGAACTTTGTGGAGCATCAACCAAACCTGAATGCCTTATTCCAATAGCATAATGCTCCGACGTGAATTCCATAGAGAACACGTGCGGAAACCTGTGTCGAGTTTATGCAGGTTTGACACAGTTGAGCAGCTACGAAAGGCTGTCGTTAAGGAATGGTCCCAAATGCCACCACCTGACTTCCAACAAGTTGTTGAATCGATGCCAAATCGAATACATGAAATCAGAAACAAATCTGAAGGTTGGACACATTATCAATTTGTTATTTGTATGTCAATTTAATTTGTTATATTTATTTTAATAGCAGTGTCTTTAATCGAATTTCCCATCTTAACAACACATTGCATAAACAAATTGGAATAAAAAGTGTTCTGTCGATTTTACCAATTTCATATATGTTTTATTTGACAAATATTTAGAGCACCTAACTATTGTAGAACAAAAAAAAATGTTTAAAAATTCTGTTCTCAATTTCATAAAGCAAAAAACAAGTGCCTTTGATCGAATTTTGCAGAGATTATTACAGAGATGGGTAAAGAAAGAAAAATGGGAACATAAATCAGTAAACGATATTATTTTGTTAAATACCACAAAAAATAAAAGATAATTTATTATTAGAGCAGTGACTGGCAGGAGCATAAAGGTATTTCAATTGTTTAAAGTGTATCTATTTATAAAAAAAAATATAAAAGTGATTAAAATATATCTGTAGATTTTGATTGCAACATTACTTTATTGATTTTTTCTACTTTCGCATAGAATATATTCTTTATCGCAAAATCAAATCCATTTTTTCATAATTTGATGTGACCATTTTTTCAGTGTATTCATTTTAATTTGACAATGGCTTCTGGTCGATAATCATATGCGATGCGTTGCCTTTCAATTGAGAATACAACAGTTTAGATTGAGATCAAGGCATTTAAATACCTGGAATTGCTGTCGTTATTACCAAAACAATTTCGAATTTGGTAATAGACAATATGTATTCGCAGCGACATATGCAACGGCTAAATGACAAACGTTGCACAGTCGATGGCTGTACAACATTTCGATATGTGAACAATTCCGACGAAACCAGTTAAATGTGTCTGTGTGTGTGTGTGTGTGTGTGTGTGTGTGTGTGTGTGTGTGTGTGTGTGTCTTATCAAAGATGCTCATCTGTCATTTGTGTGCTCATGTGAGAAGAATATCTTTCAATTGGCATTGTCAAGGCGCACTTGCACACATCCCCACGCACCTCAATTTAACCTATGTGTGTGTGTGTCTGTGTGTATCTGTGTGTGTCTGTGTGTGTCTGTGTGTGTCTGTGTGTGTCTGTGTGTGTGTGTGTGTTTGTCGAGCTAAAGAAAGGAAGGCAAAGGCAAAGATGTAAGCTAGCCGTGCTGTGTTTGTCAGTTCTGCAGTTGTTAGAGTTCCCAGGGGATGTCAAGTGCTGGCGTTTGCGATTTTTTTCTTTTTTTTTTAAATTTTTTTTTCTTTTTTAGTTTTTGTTACTCGGTAATTTTGTAGGTTCACCCACAAAAAACAAGCTGAAAGTCAAATATTGATAGAGCAAAACAACAAACGAAGATATTTGCTTAGCCCGAATGGCCAAAACACACAGCAAGACCGAGAGAGAGAGAGAGCGAGAGAGAGAGCGAGAGAGAGATAGATGATGAGAGAGAGAGCGAGAGAGAGATAGATGATGAGAAAGATGCATAGATAGAGAGGGGTATTGACACGACTTTCCACTTGTGAAAATGCTATAAAATAAAATTTGCAAAAATTTTCTGCTGATCTTGGCAGTTCATGCAAAGGGCCGACCAGCAAATACGCCCTACCCCACCCTACTCCACCTCACCCCACCGCACTCCACCTAACCCAAAACCCCCAGCGACAGGCCAATCCCAGACCCAATCCCAATTTCAACATCCAGCCCAATCCCATCCCAAAATGCCGCCCACTGCATAAAATGCTGAACATTTTGACTGGGTTGGGTTTGGGGTTGGGTGATGGGTGATGGGTAATAGGGAATGGGTGATGGAGGATGGGGGATGGGGAATGGGGATGCGTATGATATTTGGGTAGCAGTGTCAGTTCGCAATTGCGTTAGTCAGCAAGCTGCTGGGACATTTGTATTAACATGACTTCCTGCTTACCAGCGGGCTTATTATTATTATTATTATTGTTTGTTGCGGCTTTCAATGGACGCCGCTTGCCCGCATTGTTCTTGGACGAACGCCTACCAAAACTGTGTGCGAGCAGCCAACAATATGATTATTATTATTGGCCAGGCCCTTGACTAAGCCACTTACCATTGCCACATCTCAGCTCCACCTAGAGATGGTATCTTATTACACTTTTCTTATATATTTTTCTTGCTTTTTCTTTCGTTTTCTTTTTGTGGCACAAACAGGAGTTTCCGAATTAGGCGATCGAACATATTTTCAATACAATTAAAGTCAAGAAAAATATATACACATCAAATTAAAGCACTGCAGCTTATTTGTGACTTATACTTTAAAAACTCCTTGTTTGGAATACACTTTTATTTTTTAAATTTGTATTTTGAACTTGGTTTTTCTAAGGAACAATATTCAAGTAGTCATTTTGGATATAGTTTTTGTAACAAGCACATTTCCAGTGCCAGTTCTAATTCTCCATATATTTATATACATGCATAAGCACGTATGTTTATATATATATATATATATCTATATCTCGCTATGATTGTCTTGGGCATAAATGCGAATTTATAGTCGATTTGCCGGCTCTGGCTTTGGCTCCCGTCTCCGGCTCCAGCTCCGGCTCCCGTCTCCGGCTCCCATCTCCGGCTCCAGCTCCGACTCTGGCACAATAAATAGCCAGGCTCGCCAATCCCTGGACAGCAATAAGACAAGTAATTTAGTTGCAAAATAATTTTAAATTTCATTTTCCATTTTCACAGCACTCAGTGCCATCAATTGCGCATCTTGCGATTGCCAGCCAGAGTTAACGGGCGAGTTTTGGGCCGGAGTATCTTTGGTGTTCTTAGCAAGAGAATCACCCAGGCGATTGCCTTTTATGCGTTGCCATTTTCTGTTTTATGGCTATCATGTGGACTTCTTGGGCACACAAATACAAACAGACACACGGACAGACAGACAGACATACAGACATACATGTAATCTAAGCATCAATATCTGCATATTATATAAGTGTGCGCTTTATTGACTTGTGGCATAGTTGCAGCCCCCATTGAGTTGCGTCGACTATTGTATCGCATTTATTCACAGTTACTTTTATAAGTACACAACAAGTCGCATAGACTCTAAAATGGATAGTCCCACAACCCCAAAGCAACCCCAAAAAGCAATTTTAAACAGTTGTTATCTTAACTGATGATAGCTACTTGAATATTATTGGGCTTGTAACATTTACGGCTTTAAGCATCTCCATCCATATATAAACTCAGCAATTGAACTAATATTTGTGGTTAGCGTAATGAGTACGAAAAGGGAAATCTTTAGTTAAAGCCACAATTCTGTTTGTCAATGAACGAGCTGAGCAGATCTACCACTAACGGTACACCAGCACCCACCACCCAGCACCCATCACCCAGCACCCATCACCCAGCACACATACCTGCTGATGCTGCCAATGCTGAGCATCTCGTGCTTTACAACCGCACATATTGGCAAAAATAATTAAACGGCCGAGGTAATAAAAATGCCTAACAAGCTTTTCCAGGTAGACCACACATCCACCTGCCCGCAGACATCTGTGTCTACACTCAAAGAAAAGCACAACAAGATTAAATAAACCATAATAAAAGATAAGTAAAGTAAAAGATTCAATTTCATTATCATCATTTTTAGCTTAGCTTGTTTGTTGCCTGTGAACTGATTACGAGAAAAAACAGAATTTGATTCGTACTTGAAATTTGTTAAATTATATGCAGTGGCCCTTTTCTTGCAGTGTAGCTTACTACTTACGTGCGTTTATATGGCAAGTGGGCGTGGCACACACACACACACATAATCGCCGTCGTCAGGTGTCTCATGCATAAATTGAAAATTTCTTAATTTTATTGTTGGCGCTTGATGTATTTTTATGCATGCAGCCCCAAAGGGCAAGGCAAGGCAGGGCAGGGCAGGGCAAGGCAGGGCAGGGCAAGGCGTGGCATGGCGTGGCAAGGGATGCGGTTTATTGCCGTGACAGGCAATGCTGGCTGTTGGCTGTTGGCTGTTGGCTCGGTTTCGGTTTCGGTTTCGGTTTTATTGAGGCTGCGTGTTGTTGCAGAAGAAAGAAATGTGTTGCCTACTTGCGGGCACCGGACATTAAACACAGCACAAAACACACTCATCACAAATAAATTGAATCAATATAAAATAAGATGAAGCAAGTCGAGTGCCAAAACTGGCAATAGAAATAGAACTCGCCAGAAGTCGGCCAAGTACCTCAGCCATAGACTTTACATTGCTTTAGGGTCTCAATCTCACCCACTCACACACGCACACACACACACACACACGCACATACACACACAAGCATGTAATTGCGTTGACAGCAAATTTAAATGAAATCCTCCGCCGGGCCCAAAAAAAAAATAAAAAAATAAAAAAATCTGAGCCATGCTAAAACGTCAATGTGTCAGAAAGCAGACGACAGCATCAGGACCCCATTCAGTGTGTGTGTGTGTGTGTGTGTGTGTGTGTGTGTGTGTGCACAGTGTGTGTGCACTGTGGGTGATGTGGGACAATTGTGAATGTTGGGTGGAGCATTTGTATATCCACTGAGAGGCTAAGGCTAATAATATTGGCATTGACCCGAAACCAAAGCCGTAGCTGTAAAGCTCAGCTGGCGCACTGTCAATTTGCCAGCAACTTTTGCCGGCCAGACGGGGTTGGTTGGCTTGGGGTTGGGGTGGATTAGAGGCATCTACATATTTTATTGAAAGATATTGAAAGATTTCAATATTTAGACCCAAGCACACACACATGTATATATGTTGGTGTGAGTTATGTGTGAGACAGCGGGTTGCCAAAGACTTATGTCGTATTCAGCTAATAATCGACGATTTGCTCGGCTGCCCCTGACTGCAAGTAATATCGAAATAAATATACGACTTCGAGTACTTGAACACACACACACACACATATATATATATGTATATATATATACTGCGCAATATACAATTTCTAGTGCGAAATAAGTCAGAGAGTAGCCGAAAATGTTCAATCGGCATATCCAATATCAATTTGGAAGCGCTGCTCATCAATCGTCTTTAATCACACACAGCGAAACTTTGCTTTTTGATCTTTGCTAGAGGAGCATGTTGGCAAATCGATATGCCTAATAACCATTCCTGCTTTTGAATAATGGCAACGCCTTGCTAAAATTAGAATTAGCAAAAACAAAAAAAAAAAAAATGGAAATTTTTGTTTAATGCTTGAATTGTATTTCCTGCTACACTTTTATATCTGCAAGTATCTTTTACTATTCTTTGAATCCCAATATAAATATGATTATTAATCGATCTATTGCACTTCCATCAAACCTAAATTAAAGACTTAAATGTACTCCGAGCTTAAAACATGTTTGCTTGGCATTTTTTATCTTTGGGCCACAATCTGCCATGATGTGCTTTGAGGTTTCCTTCCCATTGTCACCAAATCGATAAAGTTCGTTGGAGTTGACTATGCCTAATTCAGTTAGGTGACTTCTTACAGACCGCTAAGTCTGCCAAGTCTGTGCTTGCCCATGGCTATTAGTTGCTGGCCACATATTGGATCACCTGCTAGACTTGTCCTTGTCCTGTAAACGGATTGGCTGAATAATCCAATATGCCAAACGATAATATATATCTCGACCTGGTCTTTACAACACGGCCATCTTGATCTGGCGCTCTTTATTTATGTATGTGAAAATCTGTCGTCTTTTGCAGGCTATGGCAATATTGCACCACGTACAGCGCTTGGCCGAATCGTGACGGTGGCATATGCATTCTTTGGTATACCGCTGACGCTGGTTTATCTAAGCAGCACCGGCAGCATACTGGCCAAGGTGGCACGCGAGGTATTCTCGAAGGCGCTGTGCTGTTGCCTGTGCTCGAACTGCGGCTATTGTTGCTACGACGAGAAGCGCATGGCGGAGAAGGAGCGTCGCATGAAACGGAAGCGGCAGCAGGAGGAGCTGCGCAAACAGCAGGCGGTCATGCAGGAGCCCTACTATGTCCGAGATGTCTATCATGCCACGCCCGAGAAGCAAGCAGCTGCTGCTGCTGCTGCTGGTGGTGGTGGTGGTGGTGGTGCAGCTGGTGGAACTGATGGCGGTGGTGGTGGCAGTAACTGTACACCAACTGGCATACCGGGACCAGCGTCCAGCAATGCTGCTGCCAGTGGCGGTGCCATGGACATTGATTCGCTGAGTGCCAGCGAGTCGCGCGGCTCAATGCACGGACTGAGCATATTGGCACCGATACTGCTCTGCTTCTCAATGATGATCATCTATATTGTATTTGGGGCGGCGGTGCTGTATCGTTTGGAGAACTGGCCAATTATTGATGGCATCTATTTCTGTTTCATGAGCCTGTCGACCATCGGTTTTGGTGATATGCTGCCAGGGCTGCGACGCGATTCGAATGCAACGACCTGGTTCTGCTCCGTCTACATAATGTCGGGCATGACCCTAACGGCCATGTGCTTCAATGTCATCCACGAGGAGATCGTCCATCGCATCCGCATCGTTGTCGAGTTCAAAAAGACAAATGCCGCAACAGCTGCCAGCGCCAGCAGCGGCTCAATGATGGATGTAACGCACGAGGATGGCAACCAGTACTATATGAACGCATCCTGACACTATGAGAAGCGTGCCCATCTTTATCAGCGCAATCCCACCGAGGAGACACTGGTGACAGGTAGGCATCTCTTCAGCTGTTTGCTCAATATTGTTTACTACTGAGGAACTTTCTAAAATCAAAATAAAAAAAAAAACAAATGAATGCATCCAAAAATAATATTCAAATAGAAGCCAATTGATATAATTCCTTTATTTGCCCGAATTCTTTACAATAATTAAAAGAGTTGTCTATAAAAGAAAACCAGTTTGATTAAATTAAATTAATTCTTATATTTTAAAAGATATTTTGTTTGTTACAAATGCCATCTGTATTTGTTATTATTATTAATTTATTATTCTTAAATAGTGCCACAATTAAAATGTCAACTCAATGCTTTTCTTTGGTTTTCTGGCACTGCAGAGACGCCCACATCGCTGGTGCTGAAGGACTATGTCAACCATGAACTGGTACCAATACTGACCATGGATCCGAATGGTTCCCGTTTGGGTCTGGCACAGCCAACGCCCGCTTATTCGCCCGCCGCAGCCACCGCCCAAACGACTGGCAAAGTCAATCCCGTGGAGACATCAGCGATCCACGGCAGCGAGAGCAGCCTGATGGGGTACACAACAACGCTGAGCAGCCCGCTGCTCGAGAGCCAGTCTCAGTCGCAGGCCACCGGACAGGTGTACACACTGGCCGAGGAGACGGAAATCGAGCTGCAGGCTGTGCACACCGAGATCGCAACGGTGGAGCGCATCTAGGGTCTTAGTGCTTGGACAGTCGGACAGTCGGACAAGCGGACAGTATTAAGTAGTAGCATTTAGAATTAGTCATTAGCTCGTAGAGTGCTCAGTTTAAAGTGTACAATTTTTTTTTGTGGGCAACGCCCGGTTAAAAAACAAAATCCAAAGAAAACCTAGCCCTAACTTTGACTATCATTGTATATAAAATAAAAAATAAAATAAATAATAAAAAAAACCAAGAGAAAGGGAAAGCAAGTAAGAAAGAGAGAGAGAGAGAGAGAGAAGTAAAGAGGCGACAGAATACATTTCCATAGTCCGTAAACACAGTAACTAAATCTAAGCCAGCCCAAAGGCCGTGCTATAAAACTTAGTCAATGTAGTAAGCGAACAAAGAAAGAAGAGAAAAGAAAAGAAAAGAGAAAACAAAAAAATACAACTAAGAAATTGAAAACGAAAACAAAAACAAAAAAAAAACTATTATACTATAAGCACTTGCATAGTATGTTCATGTGATGAAATTCACTTCTGAAACACTTCTGGCAGTCTACGAATGCAACGAGCAACTGTAGATTACCGATTCTTCTTCTTTTTATACTGCTTCTACTTCTACTTCTAGTTCCACTTCTTGCTAGTCATCGTCGAGTTAATTAGGAACACGAAACATTTTGTGCATTCAACCTAACCGTATTTATTTTCGAGCCAATTTCAGCACAAGCGTTGTCCAACACTTGGTTGATCAAATACGGTAAATACGGTAAATACTTGGAACTTGCGATGCCTGCAGCATTGTTTTAACCCGTCAAGCGGCACATCAAAGTTAATAAGAAAGAAAATAACTACTACATATATAAATAAGTACATATGAATAACATATATACATAAATTATAATAGCAAAGCGAGTAAGAATCTATTCAAGCCCGGCCCCACATTGCAACACTTACATACATATATATGTGTGTACATGCTCGTAAGGCAGACAGCATCCAACATTTTATACGTAATTCAAGCTTACATAGTTAATATATTAATATTAAACACAAACAATAAATTAAAAATAAAAAGAAAACACGTAAAAAAAACAAAAACCAACATGACGAGTATGAGAAAGAGCAACAAATTATGCTAATTACATAAAATATGAATATAAATATAGATAATTGTCGTTTTTTTTTTTTTTTTTTGTAATGTATTGTAATTGTACAACTTGGCATAAAAATATGAATATTATCACTGAATTTAAATTCATATACAATTTAAATAACGTTTAAACTCGAACTTTGTAAATGAAAGCATGTTTGAATGTACCCAATTGTATATTTACAAGAGCAGCGAGCGAAATGCATAAATAAAACTTAAAAAAAGTAACGATGTTAAAGCAACAGTGTTTCAAACAATTATACTAACTAACTACTAACTAATCTTGTTAAATTGCAATCATTTTCCTAGTCTTTTTAGCCATGACACTTGCAAGACATGGCGCCATCTGTTGAGAATCGACCACAACGAGTATCATGCACGCCATCTATCGAAATGACTGTCAAGCGGTGCTACTCATCAAGCTGTTGTTTTGGCGCGTAATTCAAATGTGCATGTGAAATGAGTATTATTTTACCAACCGTATTGGAAACATTTTTCCCTAGACATTTTTCCCATTAAGCCTCCAAAAATATAATTTAAAAATAATGCGCATTAATAGGTAGCAAAGTCTATTTATATTTATCTAAACAAATTATAAGTAATGTCAATTTCTCTATATATTTTTTTCTGTTCTCGCTTTCAGTAGATTTTGCAGGAATGCAGTGGAACTTTTTTAGTGCATAACTGTAAATGCTTATCATTTGAAAACTGTAAAAAAATATTTTTAATTAATAACGTTGATTCTTATTTGTCAAACGAAGAATCAAACAGGAGTCAATAAATGTCTGCAGTGTGTTATGGATATTTGTGTTGCCTGCAGCTTGAGGCAGACGTAAGAGAATTTGAATGCAGTGGTGAGAGAACTCATTCTCCGAATTGCCTTACGAACAGCAGCCGAACGCGAATTTTCGTCAGTCACACGAAGAAGCTTCGGGGGTGTCTGTGTGTTCAGGCAGCTTACAGCAAGTGTAAATGTGTCAACAGCGCTGCACCAGAATTTTGTTGCTTGTCCCTGCATGCGTTCTGCGAAATTAACAAAATGCCCATCCCTGGATCCAAAGCACCAACAGGAATAACTGTGAATAATTTTTTGTGCCCGCTCTTATCACGCCAATGTCGTCGACCACAAAGCGAATGTAGCAAGAAGAATGACGCCAAGCTTCTTTTTATTTAAAAGTGCAGTTTTGAGTGATAAACAAATTACCACAATGTATTTTAAAAAATAACGTCATCTGAGTAATTAATCATCGTAACAAGTAATAATCGATAATCAATTTTGAGGTTCTGAAAAGTATTATCTGCATGTTCGAATATATTGCTCATGTTTTCGGAAAGGTTTTGAGATTATCTTGGGCACACCGAAAAATAAATACCCTTGCAGATTGGAGTATGTTTTTCGAAAAGTGGATGAACAAAATGAGAACAGAGATTCGGCCAGTGATGATGTTAAACATTTATATACACTTTATGGCGTCGCTATAACTATAATACCACTCACAAGGGTATGAGAAACATAATAATGACTGTGTGTGTGTGTGGGATTTATGTGTGTATGCATGTATGTGGGAGCTTGCTGTCGAGCATTTAGACTACATGCGTAAATATATACATATGTATGTATGTATGTTTGTATGTACGTGCATATTTACATAAATAAATATGTGCATATGCAAAGAAGATCTTTTCTTTGGCATTCTGTTTTCATTTTCATTTTCATTGAAATTGAATACAGCCAGCATCTGAATAAATTTTGTGCGTATCTTTTGACTGTTTCTCGCTGCACTCACAGACACGATTTGCATAGATTTTGATGCCTTGCTTGCTGTAAATTGCAAATACAAAATCAAATTGAAATGAACGGGGCTGTTTGCTCAGGCTGATCACAGCTACACGTACAGTTGCGGTCAAATTAATAGTTATGCAGCTTTTCATAAATTAAATACTCAATATTTTCAAATATAAATGATATACAAAAAAAAAAATATGACTGAAAAGTGTACAACGATTTCAGATCTACATTTCAGATCCCATAGGCTGTTCCAGTTGAACTGCGAGACACTGTATATATATGTATATTCTTGAATAGGATCCACAGTCGAGTCGATTAAGAATTTACATAAAACACATATTTCATTTTATCGATTACACGCTTCGATTAGCCAATATCGGTGCAAATCGATAGTTACCATTTTAAATATACATATGTATGTATATATTTGGAATCAAGCAAGTCTAAGCACAGTTACACAGTTTTGGGATTCAGGGTATTTCCAGATTGAGCTCTCTCGACTCGAGCATTCTTACTTTGTTGCGACTGTTTGCTTTATTGCTCCACTTTTGCTTGTGACTTTTTAGTGTCTTGTCGCAGTCGCTGTTATTTGATTTTCACATTTTTCTTTATTTTTGGTATCACATGATTATACAAACACACACAAACACACTTACATACATACTTGAATTGCTGTTTGCATGTGTTTGTGTGTGTGTGTGTGTGTGTGTGTGTGTGTGTATAAATATATAGCAAAGGAAAATGCCATTTGAACATTTCGGTTTACGTTCACGTTTGGGATTGAGTAAGCGATCTGTTGATCTCCAACATTTGTCGCCGTCGCTATTTGCTTCTGCTCTGCACAGCATGGTGACGTAAAAGATTGCCTTCGCTCATTGCTTTTATATGTTTTGTTATCTTGACAACACGCATTTTCGTCGAGTTTTTCTTTTTTTTTTTCATTTTTTGTTCATCACGTGTTTGGCGGCACATCGTGACTGTTCTTGGTTTGAACACATTATCGTTGCCACTGGCCACACTGTGCAAGCGCAGCGTTCGCTCTGCCTATGTTCACATGCTTTTCATATCGATGTATGTATGTAGAAGAGTATATTGATTTTGCGCTAGAGAATTGAAACTGTTCTGCATGAAAGCAGGTTTTGGTTTTTTCCCACGCCTGGCAAATCGATAACACGTCGATGTTTCCCATTGGTAATGATTGGCCAATCAATTCCCTGACCACTCCCCTAAATTTCGGAAAGCATATATCTATCACAGTTTTTTAGTAATAGTAACAGAGTACTACGCAGTCGACTACGTCCTTGAGTATCGCTCTCACTTGCTTTTGTTTGTGCGTGTTTTGTCGTAATCTTTCGCACTCTCTTTTTTTGTCTTTCGCTCTCTCACGCAGTCGTCTTATTGTTGTCATGGTCTTTTGCACCTGTTTAACTGTTTTTCGGTATATTCTCTTTCTTCTTTTCAACATTTGGCATGTTCTAACTGGTTTTGTGCCTTGAGATTCCCCTTGGATGGACTTGAGCGGGTTGTTTAAATCTATAACCAGAGCGGACCACAGGCACAGAAGCCGCAGCACCGACAAATAAACAGAAATAGGACTAGAATAATGACACTGAGTTCTTATTGTTATTATCAGTTTAGCCTTTGTTGCTACTTTACATGCAGATCTGTTTTGGTTTGTAAATTGTAAAAAAAAGGTCTCCTATATACACAGGCATAAGTATGATAATTTTGTTAATATTTAAAATAAGGATTTTGAAATAAATTCGAATATATATACATATATTTAAGTCTTTGAATAAAATAATTTTATAAATAAATATTTAAAAATAAACAACATAAAATTGGCCGTGGATGGTTTCAACCCTTTGGGAATTATAAATCACAGTACTTGCACGGAAATTGAAAAAAACCAAAACCGTATAAGTTTTCAAATGCATTCTAGGTGATTAAAAGCCACTGATTGTATTGAAATCACTACTATATAAAACTAAATAAGAAACTACATACGAATTCCGGATATTTCTTTGGCTAACTCAAGATATCCTAGAATCTCTCCTGACGAAAACTAACATTGCAGCACTGACCACATGGTGAGAGTAGCGTCTTTAACAGTGTGTAAACATTTTTGGGGCTGCTCTTATCACACCAATGTCAGCGATTAAAAAAAAATTGATAGTTTTTATTTTTAATCTGGAATTGCCAATTCACATAAGCTTATATATCAATAGTCATTTTAAAGTCAACAAAATAAGGATTAACAATAATTAGCGCAGCGTCAATTCTAGTCACATTCACAGTCAACTTTTGATTACAAAAGTCAATGCATTTATATTTGTTAACTTACAAATTTTTGTTAGGTTAATAATAATAAATAAATAAATAAAATATATAATCAATTAGTTGCCATCCGCGATATGAAAAGAAATTTTGCGAATACAAAAGAGAAGAACGAACTCGCAGTTAATTTTATTTTCATTGTCAACGCGCCAAAGGTAACGAAAATTGTTGACACGCACCATTCACACCATTTTATTACATACAATGTCCCTGTGCAGTCGTTGCTGTCAAAATTGACTACTTTGTCAACAATTGTAAGTCCAGCGGTAAGTTCATTTATCATTGAAAGCAAAAACAAAACGCTGAAATCAACAACCGAATTCGTCGTCTTTGTCTTTCTTACTCTTTGCACCACTAAGTTCGCTTTCCCTCTCTCTCTCTCTCTCTCTCTCTCTCTCTCTCTCTCTCTCTCTCTCTCTTCTCGTTCTCTCTTACTTTTTAATATGTGCTAGCTCTTCTTCTATTCTACTCTCAGTTTGCCCCACATAATTTTTGTTTGTTAGTTTTTCTGCTTCTTGTATGCAGTCTCTGTTGCCGTAACCGTCTCTGTATCAGCTAATGCCGCTGACGCTGTCGAGCTGCCTCTGCTTCATTTGTTCTATTTTGTATGCACACATTTGTATGTATGGATGCATATACAGTGTGTGAATACAGTGGTCATTCACAAATAACTTCCCGAATACGAATTAGGAACAACCATAAAATGTACATATAAAAATTGTTTACAAAAAAATATATATATAATCTTATAATTGGCTATAAGTTGCGACTTTTAATCAGATTTCATTATTTCGAATGACCACTGTGTATACAAACTAGAGATGGGCTCGGGTCAGGCTTTATTTTGTATTTGCCAAGTTTGCAAAACAGATAATTTTGATTCATAACTTTTAAAACTAGAGCAATGATTATAATTAACACTAATCCTATTTTAACGAAATAAATTCTGGCATCAGAGTAATGTCGAAAGTGACCGACTGGGAGGTACTCTGTATCCATCTTTTGAATATATTCCCATCTCTAACACAAACATAATTCTATTTTTATACTTTGTGCATATAAATACAATCACACACACATTTATCTTTGTTTTGTGGGTGTGTGTGTATTTTTGGCCAGCCATGTTTAAAAACAAAAAACAAAAAATCGTTGGCCAAAACCGGCCGGAAAACGGCCATACATTTCCAATTAGAGTAAAAGCCGCCCGACGCCACCGACGTTTCAATTACGTGAGCGCAGCTAAATGTTTTGCTCCGTGTTGTGTGCCAGCAACTGCGACGTCGACGTCGACTGCAGTACGAAAAAGGCAATGGCAAATCACAAAAATTGTGTATAATTGAGTGACAAACGATAAGAACTCTTTTTTTTGTTGTTACTGTTTTATTTTTGTTGCTTATCGGGTGACTTTCTTTTTTCTGCTTGCCATTATTGCTGTTGCTTTGATTTTTTGTTGTCGTAGTAGTAGTTGTTGAGTCTATTTTGGCCACATTTTGTGTTCTACTATGCTGTGTGTGCTCTTTTTTGTTTTGTTTGTTTTCACTTCGGTAAGCAGCGCAAACACAAATACAAACAAAAAGACGCTCTCTTTGTCGCTATCTCTGTCTAATTAACACGTTCGCATTACAATTTATTTTCATTAATAATGCGACGTGGAACAAGTGCTTGGCCCACGTCTGCCCCACTGTCTGCCCGTCTGCACACGAACACACACACATACATACTTGCGCGTGTGTGTGGATCTAATGAACGTTTGTATTGGTGATCTAAATAAGAGCGCAACACAAACACACACGCATTGCAGCGCAGAAACAGTAACGGCATTTTAGTTTGTCACTTTACCTTAGTTAAATGGGCAGTATGCTGATCACAAATATTATAAGTAAAACTAAATTCCTATGCAGGGCAAAATAGGTTGTATTGTTATCGCTCAATATGAGAAATTGAGAATGTTTTGATTCCACAGGTGATTATAATTTTGATATAATTAAAAAATTATACAATTTATGCTTTGAACACTGAATCATGAGTTTTTTTTAAAAACTTCAACATATACACATTTTACAAGTCTTATCAAATAATTTTTAAAATAACTACGTACTATATGGGAATACATTGTGTTTAAGTATTAAACAGCTCGCGAGTTGCAATTGGCGATGTAGTTGTGTATGCGGGACAATGAGTAAGAGAGCCAAAACAAAGAGAGAGAGAGAGCGAGAGAACGCGAGAGAGAAACGAAGAATGAGAACGGTCGATGATGATTGTTGTCGACGGCAGTGTTTTGTTATTTGCGGGCGGGTGGCAGCGGCAGCGGCAGCGTCGTCAGTCGCCATGTGATGATGCGATTGTATTTGTGTGATTGACTTTTTCGTTGCTCTGCGTGTGACACATGCACACATAACACATACACATGCACACAAGCACAACGCTCATGGTGTACACACATTTATTCTCCAGTGTGTCTTGACTGTATGTACATTTTATATATGTACTATATGCACATACAAGTATATGTAAAATACACATATCGTATTGGACACTCAAGTTATGGCGAAACTCGAGCATGTCAAAGGTATTTCGGCAATCGAAGACAAGTCGCTCAAAATTCGCAATTAGCAATTATTTATACTATTTCGATGTGTGTAAGTAGCCCAGCATCTAATTTTATTAAATCAAACCTATTTTTTGCAAACGTCTTGCTGCAATGTGCAAAACATACATATTTACACTTGAACTAACTGTAAGTGAGCCACGCTTCTTCTTGATTTTTGCCAAAAACAAAAACCATGTGTTTGCCACGCGCTTGGATCTTGCTCATTTACACTCTCGCGCTCTCTCACGCACGCATGCACACACACTCACAAGAGCGCCGAAAGAATACGCTCTCATGTGTGTGTATTGAGTCAAGATCACATAAACAACTTTTTGCAATGTAGAGTTGTACATTTTTACGAGTTACACATGTATATAAAAAATAAAATGCTTGGAATGAGACTAGCTACCAATACTGTAGTTGTCAGAGCGCGTAAATGTGTTGACAAGTCGCAACAACAGCGCCACCGACAGCAACAATAACAAACAGAAAGTCTGACGGCGAGAGCGGCAAAACACACACACACACATACACACACAGAAGCAGAAGAAATGCCGACTGTTTAGGTAATTCTCTCTATTGCACAGTGGGCGATAGTGATTGATTTAGTGACAATTTTGAACAATGCTGCTGACATATATTTAACAAATTTCATTTAAAGAGTGTGGGTAACATTGTTAACTTTGAAACATTCGAAAACTGTACAACTATCGTTAAAACTTTTACTTGTTGCTGGCTGAGACAATATTAATCTGTAGCTTTGTCAGAATAAGGAAAATCTATTTAAATGAAACCACAAACATTTGTCCCAATGTGGTATAGTTTCGTGCTTATGCCTTGTACCCTGTTGACAAATAATTGAAACGGGTATTATGGAATGTGAAAATGTGTGTAACCCGCGAAAGAGAATCATTTCCAGCCGCAGCAATTAAAGTCGTACGGGCCCAGATAATCATTTCTTTATATACTATATAACTATATATAATACTACTTTGCTGCAAAGTTGATAAAATAATAACAACTCATGTCAAAAAATTTGTGTGTACAGGGTATCTGTGCACAGTCTCGCTCGTGTACGCTATTTGTTCTTTGGTTTGTCGTTTCGTTGTCGGCTCTGTGAGCGTTCTCTCAATATTATTCATTTTGCATTGTGCCTTTCAGCGCAGCGGACGTGCGGTGTCTACAGACTGCACAGCATAAAAAAAAGTAAATGAAGTAATAGTAATAATAAACACCACTTAGCTTCTCAATATCAACACAGCTAATTCTGATGACTTTGATTTGAAATAATGCGCAAACATAAAACTTAAATAAATTTTGCGCAGTTTTTTTTTTTGATTTTTTTTGTCATTGTTGTTTTTGGGCTTAGCATATTTGATTGTGGCGCGTTCATGTGCTGTGTTAATTAATTAGTCGATACATCAAAGAAGAAGAAGAATAACAACTAAAACAGAAAATTGCGTTAAAAAAAACAACAACAAAGAAGGTTTGCAAGTGCCGCCCATAATAGAAAAAGAGAAGGAGGAGCAGAGCAGCAGAGGAGAGGAGACTAGAGTAGAGCGCAGTGCGTGCTGACAGCGTCGACATTTCGCGAGAGAGCCGGGAGCCGAGAGCCAGCCGGACAGCGAAACTGGCACTGACGAAATAACAACAAAACGTGAGTGCAAAATATAAAACATCACAAAAATAAACGTAAATAAATTTAATTTCATGGGAAAGTATGTGTGTGTGGTGCGCGTAAATTTACAAATACAAAATTTTGGTCACACCAACAACGACAACAACAACAAGAAAATACGAAAAATAAAGAAAAGATAAAACACGCTGCTGCACACGAATGCGAGCAGCGACCCCCGCGTCTGTTTTGTGGTTTGTTGGTGTTGTTATTTTGACGCCCCCCGCTGCAGTGGCCCGCAGCAAGCGGCCGGCGACGGTGGCAGCAACAATTGAAATTGAAATGCAACTGCAACAGCGTTTAGTGCTGAGTTGAGTGGTTAGTGGGGTAGTGGTTGCGTTAAGGGATGGGGCTAGCGGTGTCCGCAAATATTGTCGCCCGCATTTGTGCTTTCTGCTACACTGCTGTCCATCAGTGTTGTGGCAACCTCAGCGTTTTGTAATCTGTGCAACTTATTTGTTGCTGCGCATACCATACGAGTAAAGAATCGAGTACATCTTATATTTTTCTTTCTTTTTTTGTTAGGTAAATATGTATATATAAATGTGACGGAGAAGGCCACAATAAATAATTTGTTGTGTCGTGAGTAAATACATACATACCTGAATACCTATGTATATAAATATATGTATATGTATGTGTACATAAATTATGTGTGACGTCACGTGCTTACTCATTTCAAATTTGAAGAACAAAATTGTAGACAGATTTTGTTTTTTTTTGTTTGTCATTTGTAAAAAAAAAGACTGCAAATTGAATAGGAATTAAATATATAAAATGTAAATATTCAATTGATTTCCATCCATCCATCCAGTTCTAAGTGAACGGAACACACAATCTACAGTGGCGTCCCAAACGTCTTCGGTTTCAATGTGTTGTTGTTGAACAGGGAGAGAGACAGTGGGCCGCTCTCTTGCTCTTCCTCTCTCGTGCTGTCTCTCTCTGTCAATAACGCCTGCTGCGTCAGCAAGAAAATAGAAACAGAGCAACGGCAACAACGTTTCGACGTCAGCGTCGTCGTTGGCGTCCCATGACGACGCCGTTGTTGTTGTATTTATTGTTATTGTTCGTGCTTAGCGAAATTGTTTGTATGTTGTTATTATTATTATTGTTGTTGTTTTCGCGATCAGCCTTTCATGGATTTGTATTGTTATTTCGATTTGCTCTTCACTGTGCCCTGTTTGTATGCGAGAGAGTATTGAGAGTCGCAATTGTATTGTTTGTGTCGGAATTTGAATTTCTGATAAAGCGTCGCATCGCATCGCATCGCATCGTGTCGTGTCGCGTCGTGTCGCGTCGTGTCGTGTTGCGTCGTCAGTCAAAGCGACCTCGTCGTTGTCTGGTTATTGCTTGCTTTGCTTGCCTGATCAACGCAAAGCACACCAAGAACAACAAAAACAAAACTTTGTGCAATTAGTAGCGACGTAAACAGCAACAACAACAATCGAGTGAGAGATGGAGAGGGGTTGGGGAAGTGCGATTATGCAACTTGAAGGGGTCTCTTAAGCTCTTTGTGCGTGCTGTCAATTTCGGACTTAAAAATCAATTGGAAATTCTTCAACGCGCCCCCATTAAAAACTAATTGAATATGATGTATATATGTATGTATATGTATATATATATATATATATATATGTATGTGTACATATCATCACTTTTGACTTACATACAAAAAAAAAGCAAAGAACGAGAAGGACAAGGAGAAGGATGGATGGTGGGGACGAAAAGCGCCATACGCATGCATAGATAGGCGACAATTCTTGTTGCCCACCCACTAGGTACATAACCAACTCACGGCTATTTGGGCGCTCTCCGCTCTCTCCTCTCCGCTCTCTCTCTCTCTGCTCTCTGTCTTCATTTTGTTTGTTGACGCTTTGACTTTGCACCTCGCACGCTATGCGTGGCTGTGCTTCTATGCTTTTTTTGAGAACCTTGGTTAAGGAGGGAAGAAGCAAAAGGCAGCAGTCGACGCTGCCGCCGCATGTGGCCGCTGTTTGTTGATTACATAAAAAATGAAAATAATTGTGTATGTTGGGATGTATGTATTTAGCTCACTGGCTATATATGTATGTATGTATGTGTATGTGTACAACAACAAAAAAGAGTGACAAGAAACAACTTTGTGTTATTAGCGCGATAAGATATACATACATATGTATGCATGTGTGTGTGAATGTGTGTGTGAATGTGTGTGTGTGTGTGTGTGCACGCAGCAGACGAAATTGCGAGCGAACATTTACCTAATCGAGCTCAGAAACGAGCATTTAGCGAACATAAAACAAAGTCAAAATAATGAACAATTTGTTTATTAAATACATTTTGTTATTTCATTTCATTTTATGTATAATCATAATAATAAATAAATAAATAAACAAACTTAGTATTAAATAATTGCATTGCATTTCTCATTGGCAACACACAAAGCAAGAGATATTGCAACAGGCTCTTTCAACAATCACAATTGCGTTTTTGGTGCAGGCGACAGGAATGTCGGGAACGAAAAAAAAAGAAAAGGGAAAGATAAGAAGTGGAAAGTGTTAAATTGCAACAATTAGCAGGCTAACACAATTTAATATGCATTTGAATACCAAGTAAATATTCAATAATTTAATCAGTTCAAATATTGAAAATACACAAATAATGCTTAATGGATGTAAATATTAATGTTAATTCTTCACAAAATGTTACGCATAACTCGTCACGTGGATGTGAAGTCTACAAATGTATTGTGCATACATCTGTATCTGTATATGAGTATATGAATGTATGTATGTATGTATGTATGCACATCTACATCATCATCTGCCCCCAAATTAGTTGAAGCTCGACAACGAATCTACGCTCGTATGGATTTATTTAATTTGGACGAGTTCTCTGCGGAACACAGGCCTGTTCTGTGCATAACTGGTGCGATTTGGATGATATATTCATGCATATTATTATACTAATAGCTTTATTTGTGTTTGCACTCACGATGTGTACATTTGTATGTATTTATCTCTGTGTAGTTTATAAGTAGTTCAGTTTGTAGTTGTCCCTGCATTGAATAATTGCCGACATTCCGAATGTGCTAATTAGTTGAAAACGTTTATCACACTCTTTTTTTTTTCTGCCTCTTCTTCTTGCTCTGGTATGTTGTGTGCCAATTGGTTTGAGTTAGTTTTAGTCGACCGAAGGGCAAAGACAAACAAAGGGATTGTATGCAATCAAAGGTTGTCGATAAAAAAAAATAAATAAATATACATATGTATTTTCGGTAAAAAGAAAATGCTTTAGAAGCCAGCAAGTTGTTGTGGAATTTTCCAATTTTTCATTTCATTTCATAAAATTCATCTCACAAAATGACAATTGGAATTGTTTTTAACATATTGGATGAATAATTGTAAGAAAAGTATTTTAAATCTATTTTATAATAGTAATATTTTTGTCATATGTCAATCGACAATGTTGTCGGGTGTGCAATTAAGCCATCTTACAGTTAAACGCAATTTGTAGTAAAACAGGTTCGCTTGGTGGGGGAGATGAAGTTAACCTGCTGCTCTGTTTCTTTCTCTTTTCACCGGCGACGCTTTCGCTCTCTCTCTCTCTCTCTCTCTCTCTCTCTCTCTCTCTCTCTCTCTCTCTCTCTCTCTCTCGCTCTCTCTCGTTCGCTCTCAGTTTTACTTTGTTCTTCTTCGTCAGTTATCAGCAAAATTAGAGGTTGTTTGGAGCTTGTTGTTGTTGTTGTTGGTGGTGGTGCAAAACGCAGCAAATGCCTTTTGGCTATATTTAGTAATATTAATTGTGGTTGACCCAAATTGTTTTTGCTGTTGTTGCCGTTGCTATTGTTGTTGTTGTTCTAATGCTGGCAATGTGCTTAGCCAAAAAGCATACACACAATTTATATATATATATATGTATATATATATGTATATATATATATATATATATATATATATATATATATATATATATATATATATGTGTGTTTAGAGGCACGCACATGGCAAGCGGTTATTTTGAAAACGACGAAATCAATTGAAATTGAAATTGCCCAAGAACTGTCACTCAACTCGAGTGAGTCGCGTAAAAGGTGTGTGGCTGGTTGAGTAGAGGGCGGTGGGGCAGCGGCAGGGGCTGGGGGAGAGGAAAGCGCAGCGTTGCACTCTCTCTAGCGCCTGGCAACAGAGCAACAGCAGCAGCAGCAAACGTAGGCCAAAAACAATTCGCTCTCTCTCTTTCCAACTCTCGCTCTCTCTCTCTCTCTCTCACCTAATGCTAAAACAGCACAAACTACAACAACAACAAACAGCTACAACTACAACAACAACAAACAGCTACAACTACAACAACAATGTTGTGTGTTTATTTTTAGTTGACGATTTTGTTTGATGCGCTTTTTTTAGTTATCGATGCTGCTGAGGCTGCTGCTGCTGAGGCTGCAGTTGCTGCCCCCTTTTACGTAGTACCCAAAAAAGCCGGCAAAACTTGGTTTGCTCTCGTCGCACTCTCTGCCTCACACACACACACATACACTCTCTCTCTCTCTCTCTCTCTCTTTCGCTCGCTTTCGTTTGCGTCGCGTTGTTTTTGTGCGTAACCAAAATAAATGTTTAATTTATTTTTAAACAAAAGAAACTAAAGAAGAAGCAGCGCTAGCCAAAGACAATGATGTTTTTCAATTTTTCTTTTCCGCTTGCTTAGATTTGCTAAATACAACAACAACAGCGGCAACAACAACAAGCACAATAAATGCCTGCGCTGCATTTGGCTGAGCTTTTCTGCTCTCGCTTGTGTTGATTACTGTCTGTGTAAGCTTTTTATTATTATTTTTATTTTTGTTTTTGCTCAGCCGTTCGCTTTTGGGCTTCTTGTATTTCCTGCTGCGGGCCGCTGTCGCCGTCGCTGCCTTGCTGCCTTGCTGCGTTGGCAGCGCACGTGTTGACGCTTTGTCGCATTTAGCACATTTTTTTTAATTTCTTTAAATTAACTTAATTATTATT